TACCGGTTCACTTGGGACAGTAGAGCGAGATAATGTAAACAGACACTCGAAACATTTGGATGGGTTAAGAGATAGACCAGATGTAGTGGAAAACTGATGGATACTACCCCAATTGTCGGAAAATTGTGAAAGACCAGAAAAGTCGGAAATGGCCTGACACAAGACCACATCATCAGCATATTTGAAGAGAGAAGCAGGGGTGCAAGCAGACAAGTCACTAATGTACGTAGAAAATAAGTATGGAGAAAGAACCGCACCCTGGAGTACTCCAGAGCTGTTCAACAACGGTTTGGATTTCTTCCGCCTTAACCCGGTACACTGAGTTCTCCCAGTGAAGTAATCGACAAGCCAAGCTAATAACTGTCTAGGACAACCAAAAGTCTCCAGTTTATGAAGAAAAAGGGAATGAGGAATAGAATCAAAAGCAGAGGAGTAGTCCAGAAACACACGACGGACAGATTTTGCAGAGTCATTCAAGGATTTGGTAATTTTATGTAAAAGAGAGAAAAATGCATCTAGCGTGCATCTGTTTGGTTTATAAGCAGAGGAAGAGGATCATATGGGACATCAATGGAGGACTGAATGCGCTTAAAAACAATACATTCTGCTAGCTTAAATACAACAGAGGGTAAAGCAATGGGACGATAGCGTTTGGTTAGAACGTTTGAATTAGAGGATTAGGGAATGGGAACAATTGTAACTGGTTTCCAACAGTCTGGTATGGAACAGGTTTTTAAGGAATTTTTCAAAAATGATGTGAAAATCTCACTAAGAGAATAGGCTCCATATCTGAGTAGGGTAAATGAAAGACCATCTGGACCAACACTGTATCGCAGGTTTACTTTACTGTACTCGTTAGGTGTTCGTTAGACAAGTCAGAAGTCAAATATTTCTTCATTTGATTTTGATTTTCTTTTATTAAATAAACCATGGTACAGTTTTGAAGAAGGAGGAAACAATCAAGCAAACATTTGCCGTACACCGCTGGACGGACAGAGTCAGGCGATGTTGCTCGCATCCGAGCACACATACACGTACACACCTCTTCTGGCAGTGATAATTCGAAGAACATTACCACTCGGCCACCATCACCGTCCTTTAAAATGCAGACTGATGAAATGTCTCTTATTCTGAGCGCCAAAATTGCTCTCAAGATGTTTCAGACAAGATATATACAAATAATAAAGAAGTCATTTTGGCCAACAAGATCGTTTTCGGTGCCTCATTTACTAGCCAAATACAGCACACAAAATCACATAATGCAAGGAAATAGAATAAGTGTAAATAATGCCTGTGTTTGTATGTGTGTGTATGGATACTATGGATAATACAGTAAGGGGTGGTACGGCCAGTGTAAGTGGTTCCACAAGAACACACGAATTGGTAAATGCAGAATGAGGTCATTTCTACCGGTAGCTTGCCATTCATCTGCAATGAGAAAACTGGCTTGGAAGTGTAAATGATGCGTAAATCAGCAGCATAGTACTTATTTCTGACAGCAGTCTGGAGACGCTTACTTATCATTTCAGATAATGTCACGTTTGAAGGGAATGCACAAGTAAACAGGTTTCTTCTTAGCCGTCATCTCAGGTTGCACTTTCGTGGTGACCTTCATACATTATTGAATGATCTTATCCGGATATCCATTTTCTATGAAAGTCGTTCTAATTTTTCTCAGTTTTTCCTCACGTGTATCAGGCGAGCACATCACCTTGTCCTGTTCAATATACATCTAATCAATGCATTCTTTCACTGTAAAGGTACAAAACGGTGATAATTTGTGTACTGTCCTGTCCAAGTCTATTTTCGATGGATGCTACGTCGAAGAGACCCGTTTTCACAGCGTGAGAGTAAAACATTGAGGAACGCTAATCCTTCGGAAGATTCCATTTCTAGCGTCAATCCTATGTTATTATGGGTTTTGTTAAATTGGTCCATCAGAATGGTGGGACTGATTGAGGAATGGACAACACAGAAGATGCCATCTACATAGAGCCGATAAAGTACACATTCTTTTATATGGCCATCCAATACTTCAGTTTTCAATTTAATCATGAACACATCGGCCAAAAGGGGACCTAAGGGAGATCCCATCGCAATCCCGTCCTTCTGGCGGTACGTCACCCAATTAAACTGAAATGGCACATTATACGTGCATAAGTAGATTAGGTTGCAAGGATCCGCAATGGGTAAACCAATATTCATACATATCTGCTAAATCTGATTGCATAGGTAGTCCATGGTCTCTCCAAGAGTTATGTTAGTGAATAGAGAGGCAACATCCATAGAAAACATGTGCTTTCCTGAAAATCCCGGCGATTAAATAGTGTCCACAAATTCAAAGGTGTCCCTCAGGCTGTAAGTTGCTATTTCCTTTCCAAGATTTCAGCTAGCCATTTCGCTATTCTGTGGTAAGGTGAATTGTACATGTTCATTTTTGGGCACATTGGCAATCCTTGTTGTGTAGTTTAGGTAGACCGTAGAGTCGTGTTATGTGTGTACCAACTGGTCTTATTCTTTCGAAGGTGCTGGAGCTTTGTATCCCGTTTTGTTTCAGTTTTCTAACGGTTTTAGACAATCCTTTCTCGATGGAGGCCGTTCTGTTTTTCTCCCAAACATTTTTAGTAAATTTAGTCGTGTCTTGTAACAACAGTTCCATTTTGTTCACATAATCGGTCCGGTCAAGAATGACAATCCCTGAGCCTTTATCTGGTCTCAGAAGAATAACATCTCTTTTTCTCTCTGACGTTTTATCAAGCTTTCAAGATGCTCCTTAGAAAGCAGAGAAACTCTCAAAAGGGACTACTTTTCAAAGTAATTCACGAGGCTACCAAGAAGAACTCACTTATCTCTCTGATTTGTTGAACAAACGCTTCATGCAAACATAAAACGTGTGATCACAAGCTCACCAGTAATTCGATCGAGTCAAGCAAATCTGTTGAGTAAACTGGCCAGTTCCGTGGGGGTCAGCTCATCTTGGTGCGTTTGTATTGCATTGAACATCAGCTGTATGGTGAGACAACTGTCTCAACGAGCGAAGAAACATTGTTCATGTTAGTTAAGGAAAATCGACTAGGGGAAACTGGGAAACGCCACAACTGGTCATTTGGTGGATGCAAGCCATTAGGATCGGTTGGGATATCCGTTTACAGTTATCCATTATCCGGATAGAAGTTCACCATACATGAAGAGGAAAAATGCAGTAATCCACAAAATCTTCTGTCACGATTCGTAAATAGGCTAGTAAACACATTACAATTTATATCAAAATGTTTAACATGAACAAATCATTGTCTCATGCAACCAGAGTCTTTTAACATTTTCATGAGAGCAAGAAGAAGGATCATGATTGAGTACTTTTCACCGTGTCTGTTCGCCTATCTCCAAACCTGTCACTCATTTAACTAAAAGTGATCTGAATGTATGTACATAGCTGATGAGATTACCACGATAGAGTAGAATTCAACACATCCAGTGATCGTGATGTTTTTACTTGCTCTCATGAAAATCCTTGCCTATTGTGTGACTCTCGTCAGGGTGTCGGTTGACTACGATCCAGTTCATCGACATGAACTTCCTCTACCTCACAAATAAATGTCTATATGCTTCCAGCTGTGTGCATTCCAATACTGGTGTGCAATTGTTGTCTACCGGAGGACTGATACCAGAAGGTGACCAATTTGTAATTCGGTACAAGAAAGCCTCCAAATCCGTCAAAGGCATTGCACTTATAAAAACTAACCATCATCATCACCACCACCACCACCACCACCACCAGCACCGTGGCGATCGACGTCCATATTTACTTAATCAAACTGTGTGCTAAAAAGCGATCGATCCAAGACCTCCAGTTTCCTTGGTTGGCATAGATTGCCAACATCACCGTCGTTCGAAACGCAATTGATTTTATTCAAATGTGGCAAACAGGCGTACCCATTTAGTCCCTGGACAATCCACCCTTCCCCCCCCCCCANCCCATCCGCAGTGACCTATCTAACGCATTACCATCTGAACGTAGTAACATCTGTAGAGATAACATTGCGAATCATTCCACACAAATCTCCGCATTCAGACATATGTTTCACAGTTATAAAGAATTATTTCGGTATTTGAATAAATAAAACTTTGCTTCCTTTCTTTCAGGAATTCAAACAGGAATTGTTCCATCAAATAACAGTACAATATGGAAACTGGGCCTCAATGGATGTACGTCTGTACAATGATAATCAAATTGAGGTTGAGTGGACCATCGGTCCCATGCCGGACAATCACGGTACAACTAATCGTGATGTTATCATTCGTTACACATTGGAAGCAGATCCACCTACCTTAAACCCATTTACCCCCGGTAGGTTATACTTTGAACAAGAATTACTTTACACCCATTTCGGAAAAGGTTGAATTTCGGTTCCTTGTCCGTTGAATGTGTCAGTAATACAGTATTCAAAAACCGATTTTAGGCGAATGTGGTTCGGAGCCAATTTTTGGAGTGAACAAGTTTATCAATCGTTTAGCTACTCACGAGTAGTATGATTAAGAATGCTTAATTTTCATACTCCGTTGCATACAGCAGTAGACTAAAATGAGCGCACAAAAGACCTTTCAGGAACAAACAGGAAATAGCAAGCACCAAATAATCATCAAAGGCTTTCTCTTTTTAACGGTAAGGAACTTTGACTGCACTTTTAATCCGAAATTTTCATACCTAACCGAAGCGTTGGGTAAGTTGGTTGGTTGCCTAAAACTCGGTGGAACATGTTTTATATAGGTTTATTCATAATGTACTTGGAGATCGTGTGTAGTGGATCTTCGCGTATCCCGAATAAACGGATTTACCTGCAGTTCTATAAGAATGGTGGTTATGTGCTTTTCAGCATGAAGATCCTCCACAGTCTCATTCGAACAAAACTGTGGACTCAGGTTAATCGGTAATTTAGAATGTTTAAATTATAGGAAGAGCATCGTCAGTGCCTGGTACACAAGAATAATGGAAGGAGCTAATTTAAATATGATAAAACTGAGTGAAAATTTATGGAATCTTGCGATTAGCCTTCTTTTTTTAACCGCTATAGTCTTTTGCCCAAACACACTGCTTACAAGCGGTAAAGCAGTCCGTGTCTCAATTTATTTTTCATAAATTACAGTGTATTCACTAACGAACTAACAGTTGCACATATATAGAGAGCAGTCTCCCTGGTAGACCTCTAGATCGACAGTTTCAAGATGTGAATCAAAACCTTCACCCTTGTCCTCCATGGCTGAATAAGCCTATAGTCCATGCCTGGTACCTGTAAAATGGAATGGGTTAGTCCCAATTTTTCAATCAAAAATTCTTTGTGGTGTCACGCCTTAGCAGATAGGAATTCGGTGAGAACGTAGTCAGGAAAGTTGTGCGCTTGATATGGGCATGGCACGGCTATAGGCAGCAGAACTAAGTCAAGCAGGGTAGCAGTGGTAATCAACAAAAGGTGTAAATCGTGTTGCTGAAAATCAAATAGTAATATTGGCATACTTTTATGTCCTTCGTACCACTCATTTGCTGTGCACATTAAAATAAACGGTTTTTCCAACCACAACGCATTATTCTCATAATCATCGCAATCACCACCATCAATCCAGGAGAATTTTACACCGATTCTGCTGGTCGGCGACTGATCCGGCGTGTCAGACACAAACGACCGGACTGGAACGTGACACGACTGGATCCCGGATCGGACTCATTGCCGATTAGCGGCAACTACTATCCGATTGTGAATCGAATTTTGATCAAAGGCGCTGAAACACCGTCGAACAGTAGTCGGTCATCACAAATGGCCTTTGCTGTCTATCCGGATCGAGCTGAGGGTGGAACCAGTTTGGTCGACGGGCAGATTGAACTGATGCTTCATCGACGCATCCTATCGGATGATTATTTGGGCATGGGAGAAACTCTGGCAGAGAACGGGATCGATGGCAAAGGTGAGTATGCTCAATCAGTCTCGTAATGTTCTCTTTCTTTTACACACACACAAATGCAAACAAACAAATTTTGGTCCATTTCCTTGAACACGGCTTAACAGATTATGTATGGTCGGTTGCCATAACAGCTTTTTAGAAACATTTGGATCTGAGAGCAATGGTTTACTCTGTGAAAATTCGTTGGCTTCCTGACACTTTTAAAGTGGTTAAAATCTTGATTCATCAAAAATATCACTGACTAAATTGATGCGAAATTTATTCCTCAATAGTAAAAGCAATACTCTTCAATCCCAGTCTAGAATTATTGTGTGAAGTTTTTCATGTTTTCGTGTGTTTAGCAATCAATAATCCTCTACCCACATAGGTTCGCTATGCTAGTCAGATGGAAATCTGTGTTGATGCTAACAATTGCGTATAAATCTCAACCACCCGGTTAAGCCGGATACTATTCTCTCTTTCCGTTATAATTGTACTGCTTATATGCATTTGTAGTCATGTTTTTAAAAATAACAAAATACTGTAAAGTTTGTGAATATTGATTTGAGTGAGCCTCAAACTGACAGCAGAATAGTAAATCAAGATCCGGGTACTTTACTGAAGCAAAATTGTTTCAATTGTGGACCACCTTAGGCATTCGATTTATAGCTGCAGTAAACTCTTTCTTCTATTCTTTGCTCAGGTCTTATTGTTCGCGGTAAACATATCATTCGCTTGGCCGAATGGAGCCATTTATGTACTGAAGATCGTCTTATGGCTGAATATGTGACACGACCACCGCTAGCTTTGTTTGCTCCAACCACCGGCCCTGTACAATGGGATTGGAAAATGAGACCATGGATGGGATTAACTCGATCGTTACCTCATGCCGTACACCTGGTCAGCTTGATGCGTTGGCCACAGTCCTACAACGGGAAGCCCCAGTCATCGAATGGATTGTTAGTTCTCTTTGACTATCACGTGACGGACGAACATGCCAGGGAACCCTACGAATTATCAATCAGTGATTTGTTCCAACAGGTGTGTGTGACGGACGCGGAAGAAGTGACTCTAACCGGGGAGCAGTTCATCGCGGACATGCTCAACAAACGTTTGAAATGGCCCGGTGAGACATTGGCCAGGAATCACGAGGTAGTTTCAAGAAATGGGACAAAACATGTTCGAAAGATTGATGAGAGCGTGTTGCTCGTACTCCAACCCGGTCAAATTCAAGCTTTTGTTCTCAAGTATATCCCTCATACAAATTGTTGTTCCATTTGAATTTTTCGTCGCATAAAAGCCGTTCGGTATATTCGGATCAGACGGACAGACTTGTTGATTGCTGGTCGATTAGGTTCAAAATCCCGAGAGAGAGAGTTTGAAGCTGAAACTGTTGCAGATGATAACGAATCCTATCGGCGAATCATTTTCATCATGAAACTTTGCAGTGCCCCTCTTCTGGTTGTAATGACTCATGATGGATTCTATGGATTTTTATGGATTGAAATACATGCATCCGTAATTTTGGTTTTTCAACAAATGCGGAGCTTCAGACACAAACGAAAAGTTTCAAACTTCATGTTATGTGAGCCTATAGCATTCAATGAACTCAGTCATAACTTTTCTTTTTAAATTTTTTAGCCCACATTGTTGGCACAATACACGTCATCCCATACTAACAAAATCAAAAGCAGTTCCGTCAATGGTATTCTGTGCTTTTGATGACTGAAAACCAGCATAGCCTGCTCAGGGTGGAAGTTTGTCGAAACAGCATATGCCAATCGTGACTCGCATTTTCGTGGTTTTAAACCGTTTCCATAGTTTTCTGACTGTCTTACAGAAAAAAATATTCTTTTGGTTACTGTAGAAACTGTCATGCAAAGCAATGAATGAATAAAAAAACTAAGCAACTAAAAAGATTTACAGTTAGCTAGTTATCGAACAACGCTCATTAAGCGTTGCTCGGCGTTAAACTAATATACGTTCTTACAGGCTAGCTGTGTGCCAAACAAGAGCTGTTGTTGTACTCCTAAAAAAGCATGGGATTTCAGTCATAGTTTGGGAAATATTTTAGTGTACATTAGGTTAGCGATGCCATTCAGAACCGGCCGCTAATGTTTACTCACATTTAGTTGTGATGAAGATATTTGTGATGATCGGCACTGGACAGCTGTTTCATCCTGTTTGGGACTCGTCAGCTGTGCGTAATTTCTGTATCCCTAGCAGCACTCTAGCCGTAAACCTTCGGGTTGGGTCTACTAGCCCTGAGTTACGTGTTTGACTGTCATCACCTCGTGCGAATTGTTTGATCAATTTAGAGCATCCAGTTAAGATCAACCCATACCAATGTCCAGAGGTACCAGACACTCCTGATGGTCGAGAAAGTCTGGAGCCTATGAATAGTCGAATAAGTTAACTTGAACATTATACTCTAAAGTTACTCACGTCCTTTACCGTTGTCTCATTTAAGGTTGGCATGATAGAAAGTTTATATTCTGCAACTTTTGAAAAAACGGTACTGAGCTGCCACTGACTTTGGCCAGCGTAAATCTAAAAGTAGATTTCATAGAAACCGGAGCAAGCGTGCCATACAGAGCTCACTGCGGGGAATCGTGCCGGTACGTTTTATTCGAGCTCATTAAAAGCACGATAACAGTATACGTGAAATATGATTCTGGAAATGACAAATTTGTTATTCTTGATAATCCAGTTTTCCCTTAAAGATCATTGCCATCTGGTAATAGTGAAATGCTCTAAAACTCGACGGTGTAGGCACGTTTCTATCGGAACCGCGAAGTAGTACGGCCACAGGACAAACGAAAGTTGGCACCGAACAGAACTATTAGACCATGGGAACAAGGCTTATTAGCACAGTGCACAGAGATTCTGTTTTGTTCAAATCAGTCTAGATGTTTTGATCGGTACCGTGAAATTATCAACCGGAATTGGTAACGACTAACTTTCGGGATTGATATAACGAAACTGTAACGATGGTACCAGCCTTCAGTTTCGCTTTGTTTCTGATTTTTGCCACCCACCAGCTATTGTCGAAGTGCCGTGTTTGAGTTGTTCCCCGTCGAAGGTCGTTGGGTTACAAAAGAACAGTCTCTCTGACCTGATAAGATGACAGTTCGCTTTGTTGTCTCCAGGGGGAGAACAGAATGTCACTGAGCGCATCCCTAGATCGCGGATAGGGGAACGGTCATCATCTGGCGGCTAAGGCCCCCAAACAAGCCCAGCCTTTGTGATCAGCAATGAACCAATCGCTACTAAAGCCCCCAATCCGTGAGCGAAGCCCAAGTAGATCATTTCCTCTTTTGCAATCCATAGTTAGAACTGTGCATTTCGTTTTACTAAATGTCTGTCTGACTACTCGTGTTCTTCCGTATTCTATATCGCCATTATTCTCGCAATGTATTCTCGGAAAGCACAAAAAGTCAGATAATCAAGTTTTATTTTTGAGAGTGAACAATAACCCTGAGAGAAACGACACACATAGTAGAATACATTCAGGTCCAGTATTGGATTTGGTAAACTGCATTAACAACAACCAGTCAAAATGTAACAAGCTTGAAAAATGTTTTTCTTATCATCATATGATATTCGGTTAGTGATAAAAAGAAAACAACAATAAGAAAGAATTAGGTGCCAAATGGGTCCCGTTTCGATCATAACGCCTTCTAATCTGTAAAATAAAAGGAATATAAGAAAGAGAGAGAGTTAAACACATTTTTGGGGGGATTTTCCTGTTCTCTAGTGATTTTCTTTTTTTCTCAAACAGTTTAATGAATTAAACAGTGGAGAAAGCAAACTGTGCAGTTGCGAGGATCTATCTATCTCCTATTGGATTGTACGAGTCAATGAAAACCGCCCCGTCCGGTCCCCCCGGATTGTGTGATGGGCGTTATATTGAGCAGAACAAACCAATGAAGCTTCTTGGAAGCAAACTTATGGACTGGATGCAGTGTGGATGGAATCTTGAACCTGAGGGACTCGGACCAAGTTTTGTAAAGTTTTGTAAATACAAAAACTAAACAGTTCTTGATGATACTAAAACATTCTCAAGAAAAGAATCAGTCGACTTTGACTTCCCTGGGTATAGAGTAAAACCATGAACTTGAAGCATTCTGTTTAATTGAAATATTGAAGATTTTCTTTTTTATTAACTTCTTTGGGGGAGGATAAGGTTGACGAAAAATAAAGAAAACAATGGAATTGATTTGGGAACCGCGATTGTTTTCCGCGAAAATAGCAAAGAAGTGAACGAATTCAGTCTCTTCATCACCACCCTCACCATCATCACCACCATAATCACAACCACTCAAACTGATACTATTAAAGTGCCATTTTGTTCGAGAATACTACTCCCCTCTTTTCAACGACACATGAAATTTTGTACAAGGGTTTACCAGCACCACCACAAACACCGAATCAAATAAATTAGAAACTTTTCTAATTTACTAATTCCTTTTAAAACCATTACCTGACAATTTTAGTGTAGAATCACCCCTATCGTTTTTTGCTACTTTTCTTCAGTCTCTTCTTCGTCTTCCTCATCATCTCTTGCCTCTAATTGAAAGGAGAGAGAAGAAAAAAGAAACAAGCGGATTTTACTCCTTCCGAGTTAAACAAGAAACACAAGAAATTTTTTCGACAATTGTAATTAAAACGGAGATTCATAGATAGAAAAATAACAATCGGTAGAGGATTTGTGAAATGCGATAGACTTCGTCGTACACAAAACACACACACACACTCATCTTTTAAGATGAAAAATCTCGATCGATTATTTTGTGATTTACAAATTACCTGATTTTACTTACAGTGAAGCGATTTGACTGCCATGTAGTTTGGTTGAAGTGCATTATTGTCAATCCCGGCCCGATGTCACATCGCGTCTGCTCGACGAATCACAGATGCGCTTNCGCTTTACTACTAGACAGGTCACGTAACCTCTTTTGGATTGGTTCTTCTATTGCACACTGGTGCGTCACAAGTTGAGGTCAGCTCTATAGATCGTACATTCCCAGCTGCTCAACTCAGACTCATTGCCACCACTCGTGGAATTGATTTTGACAAACGTAAACATGGCTAGCAAACCGGTTCCGTCTTACACACACTGTATACCAGTTCACATACAGTTGCGGTGGCGCATACATAGGCAGAACAAACCGTCAGTTCTCACAGCAAATAGCCGAACATGTTCCAAAGCAGTTGATGAAATCGGTGATGCAACCGATCCTTGGTGGTCAAACGATTACAAAAAATCCAGGTTTATCTGTTGCAGAACATCTCACGACACACAGTTGACCCCGATTCGCCTTTCAAACCACTATTTCGTAATCGTAATACTAAACTTTTTACAATTAGTGAAGCGTGCTTATTCGGTTGCATCGCCCGACCTTGTGCGTACAGATTCTTTTGATACAATCAATCCACTTACCGTGGATTTGACCTACTTCTAAATTTATCAGTCTTT